CTAAAATGTTATGTTGGAAGTTGCCAAAATCTGTGATAAAAATGAATGTTCTATCTGTGAAATTTTGAAGAAGGAAAAAATATTGTGCTAGTTTTGCAGGAGTCCCCAGTGGCAAAATGCTACAGGTATCCTTAGTGGGAGTTTGGATCATAATCTTGAAAGACATGTACCCAATGCCATATTCTCAGATGTTGAAATCTGGATGTTCATAATTCATAAAGAGCTGAGTCTTTAAATTCTAAGTCTCTAATGTCTAATAGCTTGAAAATCATAATCAAAAAATAATTGCAACATGTTAGGCTAAAGTAGTAGTCCCTCATTGTCTTTATGCAGAGGAAAACAAATTTCAGCTGAATCCCTAACATATAACAATAGATTTGGAATTAGGTGATAGCAAGTCTTCTAAAAGTAAATTTCAAAGTGTTACCAAAAAGATTTTTTTCCTATTTATTTTAATGCATTTAGTAGAAAATTCAGATAAGTGGATTTGCCACGTGATATGAAAACTTTGGGTTAAAATGCATCATTTGCTTGCATTAACATTCCTAATAGCTGATGACATTGCAGAAGCTCTTAATGAATTAAAGGTGCATTTGCCTAAAGAAGCCACTGAAGTTACTGTATTATAAATAATTGGTGTACCTGGTAGGATAAGAAGACACATAGGAAATGGTGTTTGAAGTTAGATCACCATATTGTTTCCACCAAATTTGTGGTCTATATATGAGCACATGAAGTGTGAATTTCTGCATACTCAAAACAGCAAAGAACCATGGCACAGAAGATGGAAACATTTGATAGGGAAGGCTCATGTCAGTGTATATTAATTCATAGAAGAACTGGAAAAAGAGTGTGTCACACAGAAAATGAATGTAAACATATGCTCTGAGTAGTGCCATATCTTAAAAAACGAAAGCAGCTTTTCATCATGATGAATGCAAAACTTCAAATATAGTTAGTGATCATGAAAGCTGACCAGTTCTTATGGATTATCTCTGTAATACACCTTTTTATGTGACACATTTTCTTTTTAGTTTGGTTTTGGGTTTATCTTTTTTTTAAGTTTGTTAAAAACTATTTTATATTGTCAGCATCATTTTTTTTTTACCATGTACTATGCTCTGTGGTTCATGTTTTTGTCATTTCTAACAGTAAAGGTATAAATTGTATGAAGGCTTTTACAGAGTTCTAATACATTTTATGTAATTTTTATAAAGTGATTTTATAACAGTGCAGTATCACAATGTTGATTTTGTGAGCAAGTATTGTGCATGCACGTAAAGACATTGAAACTTCCTCAATTAGCTGAAGAGACTTTTTGTTGTACATCTGCTTTTGTGAAAATTAAAATTCTAAAAAATCTTGGGTGTTTGGGCAACTGGTAAGGTGATGCAGTGGTGACTCATGTTTTTTTATGAATCTTGTCAAAATATTTAGGTTTCCATCACTGTATTTCAGTATTTCAGATGACTGCAGTTATACAGATGGGTGCACACAACTAACAACCATTGTGATATGTGTTTATCACTTTGAATTCTGGCATTTCTTTATGGATATGGCTTGTCTACTCATAACTCATACCCATATAACTGTCATTGGTATACCTAAATGTTTGTTCTTGCAAAAATATATATGTTATTTTGCCTATTTTATGGTTGATATGGTTTGGCTCTGTGTCCCCACCCAAATCTCATCTTAAATTGTAATCCCCATGTCATGGGAGAGATCTGGTGGGAGGCTATTGGATCATGGTGGCAATTTCTTCCATGCTGTACTTGGAATAGTAAGTGAGCTCTTATGAGATCTTATGGTTTAAAATTGTTGCACTTCACCCATTGCTATCTCCTGCCACCGTGTAAGATGTGCCTTGCTTCTCTTTGCCTTCTGCCATGATTGTAAGTTTCCTAAGGCCTTCCTAGCTTTGTAGAACTGTGAGTCAACTAAACCTTTCTTTTTAAATTACTCAAACTTTGGGTAGTTCTTTGTAGTAGTGTCAAAATGGACTAATACAGTTGTGTGAAGTGGTCTATGTTCTCCTGGTTTTAAGTTTCTTCTTTTAAAAATACAAATATATTAAATATTTTTCTTAATTGCACTTTCCAGAATTATGTTTTCAATATTTTGATCATTTGAGATTGTGATGTTCAGTATTTTAGACCTGAGAGATTTGAATATTTTAGGATTTCAACATTTGGGATTATGGTGTTTGGCACTGTATGCTTTGGAAATTATGATTAGTTCCCCCACAGCGGTGTTGAGAGATACTAAGGCCCTCTTGCTTGCTTTTTTCCTGGATGGGTGAATCACTCCTGGGTTCCTGTTGATCCTGACTGGAGAGTAGAGTGTTTGCTGCAGACAAAAGATTTCTTACTCTTCTATTTGGTCAGTCTTTGCTTCTATGCACCACAGAATTTCTGCTACTTCTTTGCTGTACTCTGGAGCTCTTTCTTATATTCCACAGTTACATTCATCAATATATAGTCGTTTCTTTATTGTTTTTGTTGTTCTTACGGGCGAGATATGCATTGGCACCTTCTAATCTGCCATCTTGTTGATTTTAGTTTATTTCTTAATGAGCATTTCTCAGCTTATTCTAAGTGGTAGAGTTAACACTCTCAGGGTAGCTCATATAATATAAAAGAAACATTTGAAAAAAGTACTATTAAGTTACCATATTCTATAGTAAAGTGTAATATTCTAATCTGTGATTATGAGGTTTGTTTTTTAATTTATAGAATTGAGTGTTTTCCTTCTTTTTGTTAATGGTCAGTTGTATATAGAAGAAAATTTACATCATAAAAACATAGTGATGGCATTCACTGTGTGGAAAACATTAACAAAACACTGAGCAAAAATAGTATCAAATTATTATTCAAATAACAATTTTTCAGATAACACATTATTGGGTAGATATTTTGAAAACTGTATTCATGGCCTGGTAATCAGGTGCAATAATGTAAAGATTACTTTCTGACATTATAATTTTTTTAACTTATATAAATAATGTTATTTTCTTCCAGTCAAGTTTTAAAAAATTGATTAGGATTTTTAGATTGTTATACAACACATTATTTTCTTCCTATAAGATACTAAAAAACTTTCAACTGCATATTTTTGTATAGAATGTGACATGGCTGTTTACTTATATACAGTCATTTTTTGGGGCACTTCATCATGTTCATTTCATCTGGATTCAATTCACATGTTGATGACTGAGTTTGTGAGCAATCCTTGTTAGTGGGAATGTTTTTTAGCAAGTCTTAGAAACTGCTAGTTTGCTGCTCTTCAAATTCACATCCTTTGCTTTAGCTAGATTACATTTCTCTGCCTTTCTCGTCATTTGTCACTTGATTCTAGTCAATAGACTATAGATGGAAAATTGACACTAGGCTCATAAAACCTGTCTATAAACACTCCTCCATAAGCTTTCTTCCTCCTCCTCTTAATGTTTAGAATGAGAAATACATCCAGAGTAAACACCAGAATAAAATTAAAACTTTGAATTGAAGAATTGAATATGTTTTGCAAATTTAACTTGAACAATCTTGGTGAGAATGGTTTGTCTCCATATACCATAAAGAAACAGTTCTTCAGAAACATTGGAATACGGCAAATACAATTATTGAAGTGTTCTAAGGTTTAGCTGGGTCGCATGTCTCACACCGGTAATCCCAGCACTTTGGGAGGCCAAGGCAGGTGGATCACTTGAGGACAAGAGTTTGAGACAAGACTGGCCAACAAGGTAAAACCCCATCACTATTAAAATACAAAAATGGGGCCAGGTGCGGTGGTTCATGCCTATAATCCCAGCACTTTGGGAGGCCAAGGCGGGTGGATCATGAGGTCAAGGGATCGAGACCATCCTGGTCAACATGGTGAAACCCCGTCTCTACTAAAAATACACAAAATTAGCTGAGCATGGTGGCACGTGCCTGTATTCCCAGCTACTCAGGAGGCTGAGGCAGGAGAATTGCCTGAACCCAGGAGGCAGAGGTTGCAGTGAGCCGAGATTGCGCCATTGCACTCCAGCCTGGGTAACAAGAGCAAAACTCTGACTCAAAAAAATGTATATATACAAAAATAAGTCAATGTGGTGGCTGGCTCCTGTAATCCCAGCTACTCAGGAGGCTGAGGAAGGAGAATCACTTGAAGCCAGGAAGAAGAGGTTGCAGTGAGCCAAGATCGTGCTGCTACACTCCAACCTGGCCAACAGAGCTAAATTCTGTCTTAAAAAAAATATCTAAGGTCTAATACAAGACCTGAATGTGAGGGTTATGTTGATCTATTTAAGCCACATTTTCATTAGACCTATGATACATACATGTGTTTGTAGGTATACATATGCTTCACGGCTTCAATTAACATTGGGCACTTTTATTTCCATTATTCAGTTAAAGTGGATCCTCAGGTCATGTATTACTTTGTATGAACCTACAACTCAAAGAAAAGTAGCTTCAGCACCATTCACTGCTATGTATAGTTTCTTTGAGGAAATCAATTTGTGCATAATATATTTTAAATATTAAATTATATTTAATTATTTAATTATATGTATATATTTAAATATTAATCTACCATTGGCATGGTTTTGTCATGGGAGTGTGCAACAGAGATGGAAGAGGCAAAAATGATGGTTTATCATACCATCTGGATCAGAAATACATTTATTTAGTATGATTAAGCATTCCTATTAAAGTATAAAATATCATAACACAACCAAATGAAATCCAATAGTACTACTGAATAAATCTAATTCCTATATCTAAATAGAATATGTGAGGTTTTTAAAATTATATTTTTTCATTGATTAATTGTCCCTACCCACGGGACGAGCAACGGAGACACTAGGGAGGGAGTGGGGATTAAAAGAGAGAGACAGGAGACGTGGAGAAGGGAGAGAAGTCAAGGATCTGATCAAGTCTCGTTTATTAGCTAGAAGGCTGTTGCTTATAAACAAGTAAGGGCGGGAAGTTCTGAGGGCTGAGGTCAGAGAGTAACCATGGAGACGAGGCTGCAGGCTAGCCTCATAAGTAGGAGGAATGTGAAACTTAAATAAGGGAAGCCCACAAGATGGAGGTTTAGGTAAGAGGAACAAAAGCTTAAGCAACATAGTTACAAGATGGCTACTGCTCCCCACAATTAATTAAAAAACAACATAGTATAGATTTGCTGTTACAAATACCATATTAGCTGGCAGATTTTAAAACTCCTTTATAAGGTTCTTAAAAAGAAAAATCAAAGCATTATTTGGGTAATGACTTAAGTGTGGCAGGGTTGCTAATCATATCTATTTTACATGTATCCAATTACTTTAATAATAAAAGTAAGATTCAATGTGCAGAATCCAAATAGCAGTTCATGGTATAGTAATAGGAATTTTAATCTTTGATATTTAATCAGATGTTTACAGGAATATAGACATTTAATATTTTTATTGTTTATACAGATATGTAATTTCTTCTCATTTTTACTCATTCCATGATCTTCAGTTAAGCATATTTCATCATCACTGCTGTAAATCTTTTCTATTGTATGGATTACATTATATGCTTTAGCCATAAAGTAAGAAAAAATAATGGAGCTTTCAAATAGTTGTGCCTCTTGTCTCCAATGAATGTAAGATAATTGCATTAAGAAAGAGAAGCAAAATGTTGTGCTTTTGCCAACAGGAAATGGTTATCATTGTCCAACAAAGAATAAAATAAACTATGTAGATAAAGACTCTGCCTTGATCCAAAATAAATCAAGCACAACTAACACATTTATCCTATCTTTCAAAATGGATAACAGATTCCTTGTTGAATTCAGATGAGCTGGTAACAGGTTAAACTTTATTGTTGTATTGCATAATTATAGAAAAATAAGAATCTCTTGTCAAGAACACAGTTTCTTCTTAACTTCTCTGAGACAGAAAAAAATCTCATGGCCAGGAAATAGATCTGAGGAATATAACCAGACAGATAAAACATGCATAAATTATGTAGTAACATATAAACCATACATACAACTGTACTTTAATTCATAAATACAAAATACTCTTATAAAAGTTTATTTACACAAATACCTAGTATGCACATATTTTATGTAGTGCATTGAGCTAATTTATTTGCACATATTATTTATGAATTAAAGGTATTTTATTTAGTTGCATCAATAAATGTTATATTAATTTTATATTTATATTTTTATATTTGCTTTATGTGTTTATTTACTTAGTCTCAGGAATAAGGACTAATATATTTTGCAAATGTGGAGCACATGAATTTGGCAGTTTTAATAACCAACTCAAGCTGGCCAGCTGACACATGACAAAGAAAGAAATTAATTCAAGTTTCCGTAAGCATTCAAATAGGCTTATAAACATTTTTCTGTAATGCAGAAATGAGAATATAGTCTGAGAACACATGTAAGCTTACATAGTGCTTATTTTATGGAGGAAAGTCCACCCTCTTGAAATTTCATACATTAGTTCAGTAAAAATATTGTCATAAAATTAAAATCTTCAACATTTTCAACTTTGATTAAATATCTTTTAACACTAATCCAACCTTTAATGAGAGCCAAGTTTTAACTAGAGTTATATGCTTCCTTTATTAGCTTTAAAGAAGTTACAAATACATTTTACAAATATATTTAAATTATAAATATTTTATATCTCTTTTGACTGGCATTATGAAATGTATATGTATATGTATATATATATTCTCTCCTGCATTGTACTTTCATTCCACCATACTCCATTCAAGAAAGTAGTTATTTCTGTAAGATGTTGGTTTAGGCAAGGTAATATGTCTGAAAGCAAAATTTCATACAAAATATTCTGTTTTCTCAACACCTGAGACTCTGAAGAAAGTTATTGTATTGCAGAAGGCATGAAAAGTAGTGATAATTTTCATGAAACAAGCAGAATAGTTTGAAAGTAGATAACACATGTGTATTGGTCAGGGTTCTCTAGAGGGACAGAAGTAAAAGCGTAGATGTATGTACGAGGAGATTTTATGCTCACAAGGTGAAGCCCCAGTAGTCTGTCTGCAAGCTGAGGAGCAATAAAGCCAGTCTCGATACCAAAATCTGAAAAGTAGGGAAGCTGACAGTGCAGCCTTCACTTTGTTGTCCAAAGCTTGAGAGCCTTTAGCAAATCAACGGTGTAAGTCCAAGAGTACAAGAGCTGAAGAACTTGGAGTCTGCTATTCAAGGGCAGGAAGCATCAAGCATGGAAGAAAGATGAAGGCCAGAAGACTCAGCAAATCGGCTTATTCTACCTTCTTTTGCCTGCTTGATTCTAGCGGCGCTGGCCACTAAGTACATGGAGCCCACTTAGATTGAGGGTGGACCTGCCTCTCCCAGTCCACTGACTCAAATGTTCATCTCCTTTCACAATGCCTTCACAGACATGCCCAGGAGCAATACTTGGCATTCTTCAATTCTACCAATTTGACACTCAGTATTAACAATCATGGTGTGTTTTTCTCCAATAATAGAGATTGTGCCAGGTTGGGAGAGAGGCAAAAGAACTGTGAGAGCTTCATTTTGATGCTTAACCCTGCATTGGCAATGCAGTAAAACCCCAAAGAGGAATAGCTACTTGATGCATGTAGACAAATGGTATTCTAAACAGTTTTTTTAAAATTCCATCATGAAAGCGTGACCCTAGAAATGCAACAACCACTAGATTTCTAGGGGATGCAGAGAGGCTGCAGATCAAATATTTTACTAACCCCATTAAATGAGAATTCAAAACATAACTAAATTGATTTTTTAAAGGGTTATAATATCTCTTGCATATGTAAGTACTTAACTCTGGGTGCCAATATCTATATCCCTACATATATACATCTACACACATCTGTTTCTATAATAAAACTTTCTAAGAAAGTCTAAATTTTGAATCTATACATATTTTATACATATGATTTCCTATTATCAATTAATTAGTAAATAGTTATGGTTGTCTTTACATGTTTTTGTCAAATTAAAAAATGTTTTATGTGTTTATACATATATTTCCATATATATGTAAATATATGTACATGAGGAATAAATTCTGAAAATATTTTTACATAGTGTCATTTATTCATTTATATTCTCACTTTTGTTTACTTCAGTTGTTCACAATATTATAAACAATAACTTTTAGTGATTGTTTTATTTTATTATTTTTAAAAATATTTTAGGTTCAGGGATACATGTATAGGTTTTTCATATAGGTAAATTATTCTCATGGAGATTTATTGTACAGATAACTTCATGACCCAGGTACTAAGTTTACCACCCAATTGTTATTTTTTATCCTCCTCTCTCTCCTTCGACCCTCTACTTTCAAGTAGGCACCTACATCCTGCTGCAGCTGACAACTGTACATCCCACCACACTGCAGCTACATTTGCTACTGACACATGTAAGTGAGGATGAATCCCACTGCTACTACCCTATGAAATGCTAGCACCACCCATTGGAATGTTGTGACCAGCAATCCAGGAACACATCAGCCCTTCTACTACAGAAGTCTCCTAACCTCAAGAAGCCAAAGAACAAAGCAGGAAGTTAATATCAGTCCCCCAGAGTTAGATAGGGCAGGCAGTTCAAGAGTCCTGAGCTGAGGCTAGGACCCCTAAAATCTTCCAGAAATGAAGCCAGTCAACTAAACCCACCTTATACTACAATCAAATCCTCAAGGTAATCAAATAGGATTAAAAAACAAAAACAAAAACAAAAAAACAGCCAAAGACAGCAACCAAATATTGATGGAACATCAGCCCACAAAGATGAGAAAGAACAACTCAAAAAGCCAGAATGTGTTCTTTCCTCCAAATGACCACAGTGGTTTTCCAGCAAGTTTCTGAACCTAGCTGAGATATCTGAAATGACAGGAAGATAACTCAGAATATGGATACGAATAAAGATCATGGAGATTCAAGATAACATTGAAACCTAATCTAAGGAAGCTAGGAATCACAATAAAATGATGTGGGGGGTCAACAGACAAAAGCCAATATAGAAAAGAATGTAACTGACATGATAGAGCTGAAAAACATACTACAAGAATTTCATAATTCAATTGCAACTATTAATATAAGAATAGACCAATCTGAGGAAAGAATATCAGACCTTGAAAAATGGCTTTCTGAAATAAGACAGTCAGACAAGAACAGAGAAAGTGGTATTACAAGAAATGAGCAAAACTTCCATGAAATATGGGATTATGTAAATAGACAAGATCTATGACTCACTGGCATCTCTGAAAGAGATGGGTTGAATAGAAACAACTTGAAAAACACATTTTAAGAAATCATCTATGAGAGCTTCCTCAACTTAGCTACAGAGGCCAACATTCAAATTCAGCAAATGCAAAAGACCCCTGCAAAATACTTCAGAGTAAGTTTATCCCTAAAACACACAATCATCAGATTCTTGAAGATCAAAGTGAATGAAAACATGTTAAGGGTAGCTAGAAAGGACAGATCACCTACAAAGGGAAGCCCATTAGACTAAAAATTAAGTGGACCTCTCAGCAGAAACTCTACAAGATAGAAGAGATACAACATTATTAAAGAAAAGAAATTCCAACCATGAATTTCATATTCAGCCAAGCTGAACGTCATAAGCAAATGAGAAGTAAGACCCTTTTTGGACCAGCAAATGTTAAGGAAATTTGTTACCACTGCAACCATACAAACAAACCTGCATAATAACCAGTTAAAATGATGACAGGATCAAATCCACACATATCAATACCAACCTTGAATGTAAACAGATTAAATGTCCCAATTAACATGCACAGCATGGCAAGCTTGATAAAGAAGCAAGACCAAATGATATGCTGTCTTCAAGAGATTCGTTTCACATGCAATGACACCTATAGGCTCAAAATAAAGGGATGGAGAAAAATCTACCAAATGGCAAAGAGAAAACAGCAGGGGTTGTAATTCTAATTTCAGACCAAACAAACTTTAAACCAACAAAGATTAAAAGAGACAAAGAATGGAATTGCATAACAGTAAATAGTTCAATATAAACAATAATTTATTGACTATTGTTTTTTCCTGTCATAGGCATTGACTATATTATAATATTGCTATAAA